AAGACTGTTCTAATCCCCCCTCTCTCTCCAGGCACGATGAAGACTCCTATCAGAAGTTCATCCCCTTCATTGGGGTGAGTGTCCCCTCTCAGTCCTCTCCCTCTCTCCCGTCTCCTGTGTCCTCCCACTCTCACTGCCTCTCCTCTGTGTCTTTGGACAGGTGGTGAAGGTGGGGTTGATCGAGCCCAGTCCAGCGTCCGCAGGTAGGATTATGGTAAAACCAGGGTACGGTGCTCAGGAAGTGGAGAGAACGGGGTACATGGTGCAGAGGGAAGGGTCAGGCTTTGGGGTGCGGAGAGTAAGAGGAGCACAGGCGTACAGGATTTAGGAGAAGGGGTGTGTGGAGTGGAATCGGTGTTGAGGCTCAACCCCGCGCCTCACTTCCTGTCCCGCCTCTTTCAGGTGCGGATGCAGACGAGGGCGGGGCCACGAGCTTGGCCGTCCCCTCCACGTCGCCGCCTTCCCACGGGTCCGGCGTCGGATTGGTCAAGGAGGCCGCCGCGACCCCGCCCCCCTCGCCCTCCATGAGCAGCGGATTGGCCGTGCTGGGGTGGGTGGGGCTTGCCGGCCGCCGGCTCCCGGTACAGGCGTACGGTCGAACTGGCTCCCAGGTCGCGGGTCGCAGACGGTCGGTGGCGGTCAGCCTCCGGTTGCACAGCAGCGAGGTCCAGTCCAGGGTTTGGCAGCTGCTCGAGTGCAGACCGGCGCTGATGGTCTCGCGTTTGCCGCCATGCGAAGTGCTCTCGGCTTCAGCTCTGCCTGCCCTCTCTCCCGCCGCAGGAGTCCCAGCATGCCCCACGGCGTGGACGCCATCGGCCTGCAGGTGGACTACTGGGTGGCGCTGGGCGGGGAGAGGAAGAAGGAGGGCGAGCGCCGCGACACGGGTTCGAAGAACACCCTGAAGAGCACCTTCCGCTCCGTGCAGGTCAGCCGGCTGCCGGGGGCCGCCGGCGAGGGCCCGCCCGGCCTCAACACCATGTCCATGACCGTGGTCACCAAGGAGAAGAACAAGAAGGGTGAGTGCACACTGCCCCCTGCTGGCGCGGCGCCGCC